GGTGCGGGGCCGCCCCCGCAGCCCCGGCCTGCCCCGCCGCCACCGCTTCCATTGCAGGTACACTGGGCACTATTTTATAACCACTCTGCTCTACTCGTTTTTCCTGGGTTGCTTTGGAGTGGATCGGTTCTGCCTGGGCCATACCGGGACCGCCGTGGGGAAACTGCTGACTCTGGGAGGACTGGGCATCTGGTGGTTTGTTGATCTGATTCTCCTCATCACCGGCGGGCTGATGCCCAGCGACGGCAGCAACTGGTGCACCGTGTACTGAGAGGAGCGAAGGCTGCTCCCGAGAGCCGAGCCCGCGAGAAGCCAACCCCGTCTCCGCAGGACTGGAGCTGGACTCCTCCGCTTGTTCCACAGCATCAGAACAGACTTCTGCCTTGCACAAACGTGGATTTACAAAGCTGTAACTTAACGTGCAGAACAATTATTCTTGTTAATTCCTCTGTGCAAACCTTGGACACAAAATTGTTCAGTATATATATTTTGCTTGTTTAAAATAATCTGGATTCACACACACCACACCCCCCCCGAGGGGTAACAGTTTAAGAAATCAGACCTTGCAAACACAGGTGGTCAAACAAATCATAATAAAGTCTGGAAGGAGCCGACTCCTCGTGCTTTCAGTATTAGTAGCGTACATAGAGCCACACGGAGACGCGGGCCGCTAGCGCGTGGTTTCGTCTTGCTAGACTTTGCAGGCCTTTACAGCTGAGTAACCTAATACAAAGTTATAGAGGCTCTGTGGCGAGGTGATGAGCTCTGATTCTATGCTATTTATTTGTTTAAAACCGTGTTCACTGGCTGCGGGGGAAGCTGGGTTAGGTTTAGTGGAAACTGTGCCCTTTGGAGAACATCATTCCTCCCCACTCTTTTGCAGGCAGGGAACGCCACAGCGCAGCAAAGAAAGTTACTCTTCAGGCCTCTCAAAAGCAGCACTTGTGTCTGTTGATGTAACTCTCCCGACCCTGCTCGCGTTCTAGAAACATCATCTGTAGGACGCTGCAGCCACTCCAAAGTAGCACACATGTTATTTTAAAATCACCTGTTTCTCCCTCTGTCCCCTGCCCTTCGTAGTAAATAAGCGTGCTTTTCAAAACATACTCCATCGTGCTGCCGTGGCGGCAGGTTGCGTTCCCCTTCCCTGCTGCCGGACAGTCGTATTCTTTAAAAACCCGTGACTGTTCAGCGGCAACCATTTGTGTTTTACAGACCTTTGCCTCATTAGTGACAGAGGGCTCCTTCCCACCCGGAGCCACAGGGAACGGGCGGGAGCTGTCAGAGCTCTGGGAAGGGGCCAGAGCTGCCGAGGGGCAGCTCCCGTCCGCGTGCCGGTCACCCCTCCGGCTCCAGCCCGCGGCACAGGGCACGCGCGGGACCGAAATGAATGGGAGCTTCAAGCAACCGCGCACCCAAAAGAGGAAGCCCCGACAGATGCAGTCTGAAAACTCATCGAGCTGAATAAAAACGGGAAAAGGAAGCTGCAGTAAGTCACAGCCAGAACCAGACACAAAATCCGTATGTGCAAAAGTCCAGTCACATCTGACATCGAATATAGCAAACGCACGCTCTCCGTTCTCACGCAGTTCTGCAAACGGAGGACCCTGCAGCCGTTTCCATTTGGCGAATTTCTGCCTGTGTTACTTCCACTTCTGCCTCCGATGGAGCTGCAACGGGGTTCGGTTTGGCCGGGAATTCTGCCTGTTCCAGTTTTGGTTTGTGGTTTATTGCAACAACTCCTCCTCTCCGGGGAATGGGGCTTCTATCCCATTTAGGTCACAAGTAATCTGAATTTGGCGGCTTTGAATAGGTCTCAGGGCGCTGGGGTGGGGGGAGGCTTCAGCATGAAACTACCACATTCTTCAGACCAGGGGAACAACAGGGCCGAAAAGCCCACGGTGGGGAAAATATTATGCAGCGAGCCAGAAGGAAAAAAAAAAATAACAAACAACCCCACGTGCAAAAGCCTGTCGTCATTAACATCTCCCCATGTCCTCAGCCCAGCAGCTGCCAGCTAACAGCGGGACCTCCAATTCCTCCCGTGTACGAGGCCATCACGGACTACGCCGATGAACACCAGGGATATCGGTGCGACAGCGTTCCTCCTGCCCGCGTATTCGGAGAGGCAAAGACAGTTGTGGCTTCCCTGCCGCCGCCGCGCACTCACCCCCTCGCACACCCAGAACGGAGCTGTGTGCGGGGCAGCAGCGCCTGTGCCCGCCTCACAGATGTCCCCAAGAAGCGTGCTCCGCCAGTTCTCACTGGAAAATGTGATGTTGAAAGCAAAAAGAAAAAGTAACAAAGTGTTTAAACCAAGAGTTTTATTGAGACATACCTTACCCATGGAAGGGCTCAAGAGGAGCAACAGCTGGAGCTGTCTTAACATCATCAGCGATAAAATGAAACTTGCCCCTCGGGCTGGGAGGATGCACACCGCCTGCAGACGGACCGTTTCTGCTCCAGCCCGCCGCGTTCCTTGCCAAACACACGCCCCGCGAGCAAGGGATGCTTCTCGCCCGGTTAATCCCTGTCCCCTTGTTTTCTAGCAGTAACAAACAAGATCAAAAACGTTTTCAAAGCAGAGGCCACGATGGCCCTTCACCCTCCCCTCGGTGCTTTGCCCCGCTGGAGCCGGCTGGGGGCCGGGGTGTCCGACGGGGTGCTGTGGGGCACGGGGTGCCATGGGGCATGGGGTGGGCAGCCCAGCTGGCTGCAGCTCCGCAGTGGGAGCCCCCCAGGGGCTCCAGCCACAAGTGTGGCACAAGAGACACCAGGCAGGACTTTGGCAGCTCTGTGCAGCATCCCTAAAGCTCCCCCAGCACACGATCGCTGCTCCCCTTGCACGGGGGGAGAGCACGCGCCGGTGGCGTTCAGCCCCCCCAGTAAGCATTACCCAAAATACACAATGCAAATGGACAGCCTGGAAAAGCGACTGGGATTTCCTTATTTATTTAAAAACAGAAGGAAAAAAGGGCATTCCATCTCCTGCAGCCAGCATTCACAGGCGAGGGGTGGGAGGCAGGTAACCGACACCACGGGAGCCACGGAGCATCGCCCACGCGAGGCACCCCGGCCCTAAGAGCACTTGAAATCCGCAGCCGGCACTCGCAGACACGGCTGAAACCGCTCGGAAGGTTTCATAGAAAAGAGCAAACCCATCTCTCGCACCACTCCTTCCGCACAAGATTCCTTGAACCTGCACACACCCCTAGGAAAGCAGGGAAACTCAAAGCACACGCTTCATTTTCGAAAGGGAGCAGCTACGGGGGGATGCGTTCATCCCCACGCAGGAAAGCCGGGAAGCAAACGCAGAGGCGAGAGGACACCAGTTTGCTTTAAAACGATGCTGCAAAGCTCTGCCTGCATCTGCCTGGTCCTTGGGGATGGGAGAGAAATTCCTCCCGGCAACACCACCTGCATCACGGATGGGTCTGGAGCCCGGCTCCGCTTGGAATGCACTCGTTGCAGTCTCGCACGCAGCCTTTACGCTGTCCTGGGAGGGTGGGAACGAGAAACGGGAATGTCGCAAGAGCGCTGGAGCCACTGGCAGTTTGTCCTCCTGGATAATTAACCCTAATTGTGCAACAAGCTTCTGCTTTACCATCCCAGGCCCGAGGAAACTTTGCAATTATCAAGCAACAAAAAACCCCGTGGTACTCCATGGTTTTGAAGCCTTGCACAAAGTAACCATCCTCCCTCTGCATTTGCTCTGTTCCAGAAATGAGGTCAGAGCGCTATCACCAAATGCTCTGGCTCTATGATTGATAGGCTTACCAAGCTATTAACACATTTTTGAAACACCACGTTATGAGCCAAACAGCAAGTCAGCCTAAAAAAAAAAAAATAATTTCAAACACTAGTGCAAATAAAGCAAAATGGAAAAGAAAAAGGAACAGCATGGTCTAGGTTTCTACAATTAAATAACAAATACACTCACCCAGTACCGTTTGCATTGATTCCCACTCGTTTTCATAGTTTCAGTGTTCCCCAGCACCCCCCACAACCCCACTTTGAGCCACTCTTACCCCCGCACTGGGAGCTGCCCCATGCACCTTCCACTGCCCCGGGCTCCAGCAGAGCTCGGCTGGAGCAGCAGCCCCTCCAACAGGGAGGGATCGATGCAGGAAGATGCAATTTTCATCTTGTTAAGATCCATCGGGCTAATCAACGCCTTGGAAATCCACTGATAAAGCTCCGCTCGATCCCAGGCTGAGCCTGAGCCAGGCTAAAGCATAGCTGCCAAACAGCTGGAGAGCTGGAAAGGGCAGGGACAAACCAGATTTTTTGCTCCTGGCGAGCACGTTGAGCTGATTTTGCAGAGCAGAGAACGTGTAATGACACAAAAAAAAGAAAGGAAAAAAAAAAAAGAACAGGTAACTAGTCCACGGTGAGGGGAAGCCTTGTTCACTCCAGACCACTCCGTGCAATGCTAAGCTTGCAATGCAGCTCCCGCACCAGTCACCCAGATTTATCAGCTGGATATATCTGAGCTGGCAGAGAGCGTGCCCGCGTCCGACACAGGACGCGGCAGTGCAGCTGGGCCAAGGCAAGCGCATGTCAAAGATGCCACGTGCCCGTCAGCAGGGCCCCGCGCAGCCCCCGGGCATCGCCTGCAGCCTGGCCCGGGGCTCCGGCGCCCAGCCAGGGCACCGCTGCTGCCTCCTGCCCGCCGGGCACGCGCGGGGCTCCGCAGCTGGGGACGCCCGCAGAGCGCAGCAGCTTAATGCGAGGGATGCCTTCGCTTGCTCATTTCGGCTTAATGCAATTCTGGACTAAAGCTTTCCTCCCCGAACGCGTGCTTTCTGTGGTGCACAGCCACCGCCCCAGCCAACGCTCCTCGCTCTGCCTCCTTGGGTCTGGGTAAGTCAGGCCTGAACTAGAGCCCTCAAACGAAGGACGAAGCAGCACCTACGCCTGGGTGGGCTTGACGCAGCTCTCGCAAAGTCACACCGACGTAACCCGCTGCTGCCAGCAAGCAAGGATGGAGCGGTGCGTCCTCGCTCGGTACCAAGGATTACGCATGCATCTCGGGGTGAAGCTATCAGACGATCTCTCGGGAATACCTGAATTTTCTACACGCTATTTATCACACCTCCTACAGGAGCTGGTTTGGTGATATGACGAGTTCACATTGCTCTAAAAACTTCTGCTCATTCTTGTTCCAAGGCAGGCAGCAAGCGAGTTGGGCGGACGAGTCTTCCCAGTTTCATTTACACACTCGGCTTTCATTGCTTTTTTTGCTAAAAGCACTTCACCACCCGGGCACGGCTTTCTGGTGCCCAGATGTATGCGGTGCAAAACCGACACCGTACCTGAGGATCCTCCCGGCCCCGGGAGCCGCCGCTGCACCGGCTGCCTGCCCGGGCTCACGCTCAGAAAGTACCAACATGCCTTTTGGATGGGCTGAGCAGGGAGCCTGCCAGCGCCGGGGTTTAACAGTGGCCACAGATATAAAAAGACATAATTAAAAGCCAATAGCTTTGTTGATACATCACTAGTCAGGCAGTGCGAAGAGCTGATCTCCTAGGCAAAAAGTCATCAAAACGGGAAGTTGCAGCACGTCCCTTGTGCAGGCAGCTGGCGTCTCCCCAGCTCTGCCCAGGGAAGGCTGAGCAGCACGAAAGGGGAGAAAGGTTTTTCCAAACACAAGAAAGGCCACGCTCCCCTTCATGCCTCTGAGACCCCCTGCTGCTTCCTCCAGGCTTGGTTTTTGGGGGAAATTACGCGGTTGCGGAAGAGGATGCCCCCGCGCCAGGCTGCGGTGGGGACCAGTGCTTCCCGCCCTGCACGGCGCGTGATGGCAGGCGCCCGCAGGTCGCCCTGCTGGGATGCAGCTCCCGAAACACGGAGCCACCCGGGCTGCACCCGGGCCAAAGCCTAGGCCAGAGCAGGCAGAGACCCTGCTCCCCAGCAGAGCAGGGCGCCGGGACACGGGTCCAGCCGGATCCTGTATCGCACGGAAGAGCAGCGGTGGAGGGAAGGGGCACTTCACCCCTGCCGAGATGACGGGGTGAGCTCAGTCCGAGGCGCTAAGCAGACGCGTGGCGACCAGCCATCCCGGGCCCGGCGCGGCCGTGCACCCCGAACCACCCTGTGGGGACCCTCGGCAGCCGGGGAGGCGGCGCACGGAGCCAGGGGGTGGCTCGGCGCCCAGTCAGACATCGGAGGTCCGGATGCTTTCATCGTCCAGGTCGAAGACGAATGGCTTCTCCTTGAGATGCTGCGGCTCTGACTTGTGCCGCACGCGCTTGCCCAGCGCGGCTCCGGCGTCGCGCTCCGTGAAGGCCGGCATGAACACCGAGTCTCTCAGCAGCACGGGCGACTCCTCCGGCGCCGGCTGCTTCCCCTCCGCCTGCGGCACCGGGGTCCAGGGCTGCCAGGAGGAGGTGGAGGGGGCTTTGCACAGCGCTCTCCTCTCCTCCGCTGCCTGCCTGTGATGGGAGGGGGCTGCGGAGCCCCCGGGCTTCACCATGGAGGTGGATCTCATGAAGGAGATTTCCTGCAAGAACAGAGGCAGGGTGAGCTCTGGCTGGGGTTGGGTTTGCGTGTGTGCAACTGCTGTGAGCAATTTGCAAAGCCCTGGGGACCAGGACCAGGCCCTTTACAAGCTCTGCAGAAAGGGGAAAAAAAAAAAAAGCCCTACGCAAAGTGAAAGTCTGAATGAAATGGCTCTTTGCCCCCAGTCAGGCTCTTGCTCGTGCCTCGGAGAGGAGCAGGGTTCACACAGGCCCAGTTCGATGACTGAATCTCACTTTTCAGTCTTTTTCAAGGAAACTTTTCCAGGGACTGGCAAACAAACCCAGAGGGATCTCATCCTGGAAACGGGCTAACTGAGCGCTTACACAAGCCACTGGATAAATATCTTGTACATTGGCATGATCTTCATTTGGCACCAAATACGAAGCAGAAAGGACATGACCTACCCTCGGGCGGGTTTTCAGGGCCTGGACTGCCCCTGTGATTACTTGGATCCAGCTGTGCATGTCCTCAGGGCTGTCTGCCTGCAAAACACACCAGCCCGAATGAGACGTTGCCTTCTGCAAGCCCCCGCCGCAGCGAAGCGGGGACGCGCAGATGGACAGCCTACCGCGGCTCCCAGTATATTTGCTCCTAATTTATGCTTGCTTAAAAATCACCGCACCACCCCATCTGCCCCCAGCAGAAGGGGAGTCGCTCTCCACATTGCAGCATTTTTATATCAGGAATAGATAAAGCATTTAAGGAAAAAGAAAAAAATTGTTGGGCGTTACCAATCCTGCCCCTGCGCTGGCAGAGGCTTGGGGTCCGCGTCCCACCACGAGCCCGCCCGGGGCTGCGCGCCCCGGGCAGCGGGGTTTGGGGCTTTTGCCCGTGCACGTGGGGATGTGCATGCACCGCGTGGCACAGCACGGCGCGCTGGCTGCTCTTCAGGGACTGCCGAGCGCTGAGGGGGGCTGCAAATGCCGAGAGCACCGTGCACAGCGTCCCCCGTCTGCTGCCTCCCCCTGCCCAGCCCGGCCAGCAACGAGGAGACCACCTTAACACCCCTCCACGGCAGAGAAGGGCCGGCCAAATCCGCGGGACAGCGGAGGTGCAGAGGCAGCCCCGCGCACTCGGGATGCTCATCGGATCGCCCTGTGCTTTTGTCTCCACTTTTTCCTACTCGCACAAATAGCCGCTAGTATAAATAAGCCCAAGGGGAGAAGTGAAACCGCCTGGCAGTTCTCCCTGGCCGCCCGTGCCCCGACGCCGGGCGAAGCTGTTACCAACTCATCTGCTTGCGTTCGCTGGGGGACAGCCCGTTTGCAGAGCGTGGCTTGCACGAGCTGTCGAGAGCTGAACTTACTGCGCAGCAAAGCAAACCCGCCTGGGCTGCCTCACCTGGATGTAGAAGGTTCTGGAGCTCGTTATGATTTCAAAGAGGTTGTCCCGCATCAGGAGGTCACTAGAAAGAGTGAGAAAGAGACGGTCACTACCCAGAAGTCATCATGGATGGGAAAAAAAAAAAAAAAAAAAAAACCCGTTTTAATGTGTTTTGTTTAAACTGCTGTTTTTTCACGCCATGTCTTGTTTTTGATGGGGGAGGGGGTAGTGTTGGCTTTCAAATACTGTTGGCTCCCTCTTGTGGCTAACCTTAAAGGAAAAAAAAAAAAAAAAAAAAAAATCCGTATTTACCCTCATCTCTAGAATGTGCTGGGGAAAACCATATTGAAGGCGAATGTTGGATCTCATTGGGATTTTGAGAAGACCCCAGCTCCCCCGAGACCTTCAGCTACAAATACACTCCAGCTTCTGCAAGCCCCTGCCCCTCCCCAGACCCGTAATCCATCTCGTTTACAGCTCATTTTAAATGTGCACTTTCTACTACTTATCAAGAATAAAAATTCAAAGATAGATTAATAAAATACATTTTTACTTTAGCTAAAGAGGTTTGTTCCCTTAGTTCATTTTCCATTGCAAGTCTTCAAGTTACTTTGATTTCGTCAGCGTTTGCTGCAATAAATTGTTCCCGGGACATTGTGCAGCCACCTGCGCTCGTTTAAGGCAAACGCCTATATACGGCTTTCGGCAGCTTTGGGAACACCTTTGTTCTTCTGTCATACGATGCTATTTACTGTGCAGGGCCCGTACTCCTTAATCTACGGAGATAAGAGAGCTGTAGGAGCACGCCTGCCCAACAGAGATGGCTATCAGCACCAGAAGAACAGAGGACGGACAATATCCTGCATCCAGCCACATTTCCCCGACCTGCTCATGGAGCTGAAGGGGAAGAAAGTTCTTAAAAGCAAAACAGAGAGGCGACGTTTGGCTTACAGGGTTGTAAAAGACACGCGAGCAGCAGCGCAGCTCAGCCTGGCCCCGGCTCGCAGCAGCAGCCGCTGCTTGGGCCCCCTCTGGGCTCCCCGAAGGAGGGAGCCAAGTTCCCTTCCCGCCCTCCTCCGGTTCAGCTCCTCGGGGAACTGCTTCCCGCTGGCAGCCGGAGCAGCCGGAGCTCCCGTGAGCTGCTCCGGCCCTGGCACAACCCGGGGCTACGGCAGGAGCTGCAGTCCAGGGAAACACGGACGGGAGCATTACCCAGACTTGACCAGGCACTCGTGGGTCTTGCAGACGTCCTTCAGGAGAATCGAGCGCAAGGGCTCCTTGTCCTGCGGAGACGAGAGGAGACGATGATGGGCTTGGCTGGCCCCTGGGGCTGGCAGCACTGGGACGTGCCTCCCACAGAGCCACCCGTGCCGGCCGGGAGCACAGCAGCCCCAGATCTCTGCTTGGGAGCAGCCGGTCCCAGGCTCACCTGCTCACACTTGTAGTAACTGATGGAAAATTCATCCAGAACGAAGAACCGGCGCTTCCAGCTCTTCCTCTGGAAAAGAGAGGGGGAAACCACTGGGTGCTGGGCTCTGGCGCTCTCCCCACGCTGTTGCTGTCCGGCATCCAGAGCATCCCCAGAGCATCCCCGACCCACGGCTGAGCCTGCGGCACAGGGGACCCCGGGCACTCACCACGTTCCCCTGCTTCACGCAGTAGCCGCTCTTGAGGATGGGGGGCCCGGCGGGCGGCTTGGCGGTCGAGGTGGGGATGTAGCTCTGCGAGCGCCGCAGCAGCGGGTGGGCGGCCACGTCGCTGCCCTCCCCTCCGTCCCCGCCGTTCTGCAACCGGAGAGCAGAGAGTTACCGGGGAGCACAGAGTTACCGGGGAGCACAGGGAGAGCAGGGAGGGGAATTCCCTGCTAGAAGGCAGGACACCTGAGCTGGAGGGAAAAGCAACCCGAAGCAAACGCTGAGCGCAGCGCTGCATGCCAAGGGCTAATTGCAATGCCTGGACAGAAGCAGGGGAATGCACCAGAGTAGAGAGCTGATTTTATCTTGTTGCATGCAGCTTTTCAGACTGCTGCCCAAGTCGAATTCACTATTTAGGCACCCACATGTTAAAAACAACGTTAAGAAATTGAAAAGGCTACAGAAAAGCCACAGAAGCAATTTGAGGGCTGAAGAAAATCCCTTGCAGCAGGGGAGTGAAAGGACCTCATCTGCCTGGCTTATCAAGGACCGAGAGGCGAGTCGGCTGCCCCACAGACCCTCTCAGGGGGAGATGCAAGGTACCAGGAGCTCTTTCATCTGGCAGAGGGAGGCAGAACAAAAACCACCAGCTGGAAGCTGGAGCCAGACAAACCCACGTTAGAAAGCAGGGATGCTTTCTAACTGGAGAAGGTAATATATCATGGGAACAAACTGCTCAGGAAAGCCGTAAAGTCTCCGCTCCACATTTTCACAGCCAAATTCTCCCAAAAGAAACTGGGATGCTTGGAGTTCAGGTAGAAAACTTGCACTTCCCCTGGCCCTGAGCCATCTCTCCCCAAGCATAACACTTGCCGCTATGAGCGTGGACGGGCTGCGCATGTGGCCGTGCATCCAGCACCCATCCCCTGGCTCACCCGAGCACTTCCCAGTGCATCCCAAGGGCTGGACCCTGTCCCGCTGCCAGCATCACCCCTCTCTCCCCGCACCGCCCCGTCCCCCGGCAGCACCCTCCCTTCCCCCTTGGCAGCGCAGAGGATGGTTGAGATGAAACATCTGCGCTCATCTCCTTCCCCAGTCCCTCCAACCCCTTCCTCCAGCTCCGCGCTGAGGTTTGAGAATTGCCATGGCAGCCGGGGTGGCTCTCACCGCCACCAGCCTTATATGGCACCTGCGCCGGTGCAACTGCCGGTGCGGTTAACCAGCGACCTGCCCGCGCTGCTCCTTCCAGCACCTTCGAGAGGCTGCTTTGGTTTCTCCAGGACAGAGAGAAGCAGCCATTTGGCTGGCCCCAAACTGCCGCCTGGCACCTCCGGAGAGCGGCGGAGCTCCAGCCTGGCCAGGAAGGGGAAGCCGCCCGCTCCCCTCGCCCGGGCCGCACCGGCTCTGCCCAGCGTTACAGATGTACGTGTCCAAAACCAGAGATGGGGATGCTGCTGCAGTGGGGAGCGTTACACCCTGGAGCTGGGGTGATGCTGCTGGCCGGTCTGGGGGTGCAGCCGGAGCGTGGGGTTCCCCCCTGCAGTCCCAGAGCCGCGGCGGGGCAGCCCTGACCGGCCCGGGCAGAGCGGGGAAACCACGGATGTGCCCAGGAAGCGGCAGGGGAGGAACAGCCATTGCACACGGGGCAATCGGCATGGAACACGGTCCAGCAGCTGATGCACCACCTCTAAAAAAACCCCTCCATGAAAGAAAAGTTGGGCGAGGGCTGAGGATGGAGCTCGCGGCTCTCGGGAGGTGGTGGCAGGGAGGAGAGGGAGGCAGACTCAGGAGTCTGGAGGAAAGAGCAGCTTTAACCAACTGAAACAAAAAAGAAAAGTCACAGGGCTGGCTGCTGCCGCTCGTTTGCAAGCAGGGAGGCCGGGGGGCCCCGCCGGAAGCAGGCAGCCGGGCTGCCCCGGCTGCAGGGCACACAGGGAAGCAGGGGGGAGGCACAGCCTTCCCTGCCCTTCCCCACTCCATGCACAGGGCCGAGGGTCCGGCAGCGTCCCACGGGGCAGTGGCACCGGGAAGGGCCAGCGGCACCGGGAAGGGCGAGCTGCTAGCCCAGCCCCGGGAGCAGCCCTGACCCCACGCACTTCTGCACCCCACACACCTCCCACCCCGCTCCCCGACAAACCCTGCGGCCAGGGAAGCGTTAAAAGCGCCTGCCAGCAAAAAACCGCTGCAATGATCTAATTCTCTGCTCTATTTTTAGTGCTGCCACTGATAAGAGCTGAAGTGAGGCCCAGAGCCGGATGAGCGCCCAAAGGTGGGAGACACGGATAGCCACGTGCACAGCCGGCTACGTGCCGAGGGAAGGGGGTGCGGAGCCACGGCGAGCGGTGCCAGCCACCGCCTCCAGGATGGGTCAGTCCCTTCGGCTGCATTTATGGGGGCAGCAACACAGGGTCCCTCTGCCCCGGGCACCTCGATGGGGGATTTGGACCCAGGATGGGTGGGTGGATGGTGCGGGATGGCCAAGAAGCCGAGCAGATTCCTAGCCTCCTCCTCCTCACACCCCCTCGTCTCATCACACTTCTGAGCGAGACAAAGGATAGGTACTACAAGGTGCTAAGTGCAGCTATTTATACACCCCTGAGTGGGAAGGGTTTGCAGGCACTGAGTTTCCAGAAATGAAAGTGCAAACCAGCCTCCCCAACAGCTCAAACCAGCAACTGCCTCCAGCCCCACGGCTGGACCTCCCCGGACCCCCGGACCCCACGCCCCAGCCCAGCGCCACGCCGGGGGACCCACGTCCCCAAGCTCCGCTGCTCCAGCGTGGGGTTAGAGAACGACAGAGCCCACGGCTGCTGTGTATTAACAGTATTTCTCCACCCATTGCGCTGCTCAGCAGGATGCTAAAGGAATAATAACGCCCAGACACCCGCTTTCCCTCTGCTCTCCCTTCCCACAGCAGCAATCTGACCCTCACTTGCAACAAGTGATTTGAAGGCCCAGCCACCTTCGCCCCGCTCGACTCGGAGGGCAGCACGCCCTTGCTGGCAGGGCAGTGACGGCAGCAGACACAAAACCCAGTGGGCAGGGACCTCTCAAAGCCCAGCTCAAGCACCGAAGGGCCGCCGGCAGTGAGGTGCAGGAACGTCAAAGCGGGGTGTGGTGGGAATGCCCTCGCCCAGCTACGCATGGAGGAACTGCCACCTTTGCTGCTTATCCCCATTAGGAGCTGCTCTTAAAACACGGGGAACAGAGAGAACAAAGCGGGGTGCTGGTGTCACAGGGATTTTGCCCCCAGGATTTGGGACGGTGCACAGATCCTGCCAGCTCACCTGGCTGATGGGCGTGTGGACCACCACCCCCCCGATGATCTCGGTTTTGTAGGCAACCTGAGGCTTCCTCTCCTGGGCCTGGGGCACCACCGGAGGCTTCGCGATCTCCGTGGCCGGTGGGACGCTGCCGCCCTTTGGCACCTACGGGAGAGAGAAAGGGGGTGAAGGGCACAGGCGTGACCACACCGGGCAGCCCCACACCTGCACCGGGCACCATCGTCTCTGTCCTCCCAGCCTAACTGCAGCAATGTCCCTTTAAAAAAAATAATATGATGAAAAAAAAAAATAAATGAACAAGCCACCCCAATTAAGGAGGGTGTGGGCCCCACCCAGGTGGTTTGCAGGAGGTGCTGAGATGGGAGATGAGAGGTGATGAATAATTAAGCATCACCTCACATGAGTCTGCGACTCGCCTCTGCAGCCCGATGTGTTTGTGGGACACTTGCTCCTTTAATTGTCCCTGCTCTACTGCGGCTAGGCTTAATGATGAGCTCTCATCTGCCTAACGAGGCTGAGCTGCAGCACGTCTGCAGGGGTGCAGCGGACGGCCGGGTGCTATTTTACACACCGAACGCCTGTGCGTCCTGCACCAACGCGCAGCCAGGCAGGTTGTGCCTCTGCGGCGAGTGGCCCCGCATCCCTGGGCAGAGCCTGCGCCACGGGGACCCGGCTCCCCGCGCTGGCATCCTCCTTCTCCCCAGCCCAGCTCCTGCCCTCCGGAACCCACCTCTGGACAGAAAGGCGGGTTTCCAAATTTTCCTTCCCAAGTCTGCACTTCCACTTCTCTAATGCCATTAATCGGGGTTTCTGGCTCCAACCCACCCTCGTGCCTTCCACCTCACAGTGCACAGGGAGCGAGACGCGGTCCTCTCTGTGCAAACCTCACCACGCATCGGCTGCGGCTGGGCAGAGCAGGGCTCTCAGCTGCTCCGAAGTCCCTCCCGAGGCAGACAGCTGGACTCGGGTTTAGGCTGAGATCTGGCTTAAGCCTTGGGGGGCAGAGGTCTGTGCTAAGACCTCACAAACCCGCAGGCAGGAAAGGGCTGGCAGGAGAGGAGGAAGGGCCAAGGACAAGATCCCGGTCACCCCACAGCCATGCTGCTCACGCAGAGCCCCGGGTGCTCTCCAGCAGGCAGGCTCGGCTGGCGGGGCAGGCAGCACCAGGCAGGGGACAGGCAGCAGCGGCAAGTTCAGGCGCCATCGCTTCCTGCTTCGGAAACGCCGCTGCCGTGCGAGCGAGGGGCCAGGCCATGGCAGGCTCCCGCACGCCTGCGCTGCACGGCCCCGCACAGAGCACCGGTGCCCGCAGGCACCGGCACGTACCACCACCTGCCCCGGCAATGCGGGCGAGCTCGAGGCGGGTGCGTGGTGAGGCTGGGGAGCCGGCACAGGCCACCCGGCCGGAGGAAATGGTTTCACAACGCAGATGCAGAGACATTGCATGCACGGGCAGCGGGGCAGAGAGAAGGAGCTGCATCTCTCTGCAGGCAGCAGGGCAAGGGGGAAGGTGCCGCTCGGCGCCTGGCATGGGGCAGCGCTGCCGCCAGCTCGAGCCTCCTCATGCAGAACTGAGCAGAGTCCCTTGTCACAGTCACACCAGCCTGCTGCACGCCTTCAGCCGCCAAGGCCCTGGCTACAAAGACAGCATGCAGGGTGAGGAAACACAGGAACCGATTTGCCAAGAGCAGAGGAGAAGTCTCCGTGAGAAGCGGAAGCTGAACCTGGATTTCTGCACCAGGAGCAATACCCGAACCGCTGCCCCATCCGCCTCATCCCACCGCAGCGAGTGGCTCGGCCGGTGGCGGTGTGCACCGAGGACACAGCGCACGTGAGCGTGCTTGGTGGGACGCAACCCCTGCCCAGGAGCCCGGCAGCCCTGCAGAGCCCAGGGGAAGAGGGAGACCTCTCAAAGGCCAGAGGCTGGGAAGGGTCCAAACCCCGCCGACAGCCAAAACATCTCCCCATGCCCTTCTGTGCCTCTCCAGCCACGCCAAGGCGATGAAGCCACTGCAATTTGGAGCCGCCCAAGGAAACGCAGGTGCAAATGGAGACCTATGGGAAGCTGCAGAGCGGGGAGAGGGATTTCCCACGCAGGGCAGAGCGGCAGCGTCACCAGCATCCCGGTAGCCCTGTGTTTCCCAGCCAGCCTGCGAGAACTCCTCCCTGCAGGGCTGGATGAGCCGGTCGGCCAGCCAGGACGCAGCCAGAGTCGGGAAGGGCTGGCCAACATCAGGGTAGGAAAATCACTGCGGTTTATTGCGGAAGCTGAAGATGCGTCTCTTCCTACCAGCACACCAGCTCCCACCCCGGCCAGCCTGGCAGGTCAGCAGCACGGGCTGCCTGCAGGCAATTACCCCGGAGGAAACTACCCCACTGGTACACCCAGACAAATGTCGTCGGCAGGCTCTCGTTACGACTCCTACCCAGTTTCGGAGGTGGGTTTTTTGTAGCCAGTATCACCTGAACCCATAAGAGAGAAGGTACAAGCCAGAGCCCGTGCAGTCAGTCTGACGGCTTCAGGCACAGAGGTTGTCACATTTAAGGTATTTGCAGATTAAAAAAAAAGAAAATGCAAGCCAAGTTTGGTCTTGTAGATGAGTTTCCCACAGGGACTACAACACAGCGCTCCAGGGATTTTAAACAAAAAAATCAAAGAAAAAAGTTATTTGATAGGCCCCAATCCTAAACTGTTTGCCATGATTTTCCCTTATATTTAGTTTACAAACCACAAACAATATGCATCAGCGCGTGATCTAGTAAAACCCTGCTAGCATTAAACACTGGCAACACGGCTAATGCCAGCTACGCCGAAGCCTGCAGTGCCCCCGACCCTTTCGCAGGGATCCCCCGCATCCCAGATCCAGGAAGACGCCGTCCTGGGAACACCTAACCCGGGAGTCCCGGCGTACGGGCGCTGCCAACTGAGCATCAAACGCAGAGCGTGCAGACGGGGCTTCTGCTCCCGCTGCCTGAGAGGGAGCACAGCACCATCCCTCATCGCCAGGAGCGCCGGGCAGCTGAGGAGCACAGACTCCGCGAGTTGCTGGGTCAGTGACCATTAATTTACGGTTATACGAACACAACAGTAAGCGAGAGGAGATGGCAGACAAACTCCTTCGGATCCAGGCACAACCCGCCCTGCGATGCCCTACAGTGCAGGGCATTTGCTGCCCCTCGTCACAAGCCCTAGTGTTCCAGGAGGAATAAAAATTGAGTAAATAAATTACTGAAGCACAAGAAAGATGCCCTTTGACAGCCACAACGAGGAGTCAGTTACGGGTGTCCCAGCCGACAGGAGGCAAACGTCCCCGGAGCAGGCGGGGATGGGGACAGATCCCGCAGGACCTTCCCCAGGCTGCAAGTGCCGTCCCCCCCAGCAGCTGGACAGGGAGCGCGAAGATGCGCGAGCAACCAGCGGCAAAGTAAATCCTGGCTAGCAGGACCCCGGGGGTGGTGGAGGGAAGACCTCCCGTCTGAAGCCAGACCCCTGAGAGGGGTCACTGCGCAGCTCTGGCCTTGCGAAGGGATGCGGCGAAGCCGTCCAGAACCGCGCGCTAAAAGGTTGCATCGCCAGCACATCCCTCCTCTGCTCAGAGCGCTTCTCCCTCAGATCCAAACCAGCCTGGCCCCGCGCGCTGGCAGAACCCCACGCAGCCCCGGGGGGTCTGTGTAAGAGCCCTGCTCTCGCAGGGCCGTCCGGGGGACCAGGGCACGCTTCCCTGGGAACAAGGTGGGTTTCTGCTTCACTCACCAGCAAAACAAGGGATGTGCCAGAAGCAGAGCAGGCTCCAGAAGGAAGATAAGAGACCGCAGCCACCAGCCGAGAGCTGCGCTTCCATCCTTCCCTGGTGCAGCCTCCGCACTCACCCAGAAGAAAGCCTGGCAAGTTTGGCACCGACCTGCTCCCAGGCTGGGGACAGCCTGGCCACCATCGCTGCTCCTCAGGTGGGACCGGGGAGGCGATGGAGGGGGAGAGCACAGCAAGAAGGAAAAAGCACAGCTCTTCCAGTCATTTATCGAGTGGCCCATCAAGGAGGACGCAGAAACACCAGAGACGAGCGTAATGCAACCTACCGTGATCTTACTGGCCCGGTTCAGTGCCTCCACCCAGTCCTGCAGGTCCTTCTGATCACTGGCTTGTAAGAAATAGCGCTGAGATAAAGCATTGATAACTATCAAAGGAGGGAACAAAAAGAAGAGTTAGGTTACCCGGTTCAGGGCTTAGCATTATTAAAACAAATGAAAGATAAATCAACCAGACAGCATCTCTCGACTCCCAGTCCCAGAGCGATTTGTAGATATCAATCTCGCAACCTCTCGCATGGAGAAGCGGCCGAGGGGCCAGCGCTCGGGCATGGAGGGGGGACATGGCAGCTGGTCAGCTGGATCCTCGCACCAGAGCTTAGGGAGGGCAGGGCTGAAGCCAGGCTTAAACCAAGGCTGTGGCACAGCCCAAACTAGGACTTAATCTCGTGCTGAAGGTACCCCCTCGCACGGGGCGTTGGAGGGCCCCTCGGGACTTCCTTCACTCAGCACTCGGGTTTTCACTCTCATCCGAAACGTTGGTGCGAACCCCAAGCGGGGTCTGGGAAGCTCCTCGGGGACGTGCTCCCCGCAGGCTCCCCGGCGAGCGCTGCCTGCTGGCCGGCAGCCGGGTGGCTCAGAGGAAGCTCTTGGAGGATTTCTGCACCAAAAAGCCGGAGATATTTTTAACTGCACAAGATCTTGCTGAAACTCCTAGGAGCCTCGCGCCCCGAGCTCTGCCACACCGGGCTCCTCCGGAGCAGCCCCGTCCCCGCGCGGGGATACACCACGCACTCTGGTCTTTGTCTTGGCCTCCATCCCTCGTAGTAAAGTATTGCAAAGGCAACACCGATCCCCTGGGACAAGCATGTGCTTGTGCTGTCATTTCTGTTGCTTTAAACCCGAGTTCACGGCTCACGCACAAGGCACTGAGGCAGCGTGGGTCGGGCTGAGGCCATCTGGGGTGAGGGGGAATTGGACACAAAACACCCCGTCCTTGCACCAACAGGAACAGAAGCTCACGCTGGCATTGAAATGGAAAAACAGCCCTGTATTGCACAATGCGGTGCAGCACAACGGGACACACGGAAAGGATTCAGGAGCACAGCAAAAGCCGGGGTCGGTGCAGGGGACCGTCACAGAGGGGAGCCACAGGGTCCTGCCTGCCTCACCAGGCTCTGCCCACGCATCTCGCGTGGGGGGTCAGGGTGACAGGGCCACCTAACGGGGCTGGGGCCCCGCGCTGGCCCTCTGGCACGATAGGCGCTGACAGCATCCCCTTCCCTCCCTGACCGCGAGGATGCTGCAGGCAGGGTCTGTCCGGGCGGGCTCACGGGGGAGGCACCTAAGCCACAGCCCCCCATGGTGGGGGGTCCTCCCTGGCAGAGCCCCGCCACGGCCCGGGGTCCCCCTCACTCACCAAAGCAGAACGGAGTTTTCGGCTTCTGTTTCGGCGTGGCGATGCTAACCTGCAACAGAGCAAATTAAAGAAAAAATTAAAGACAATAGTGCAGGCTAACAGCATGCACGAGAGCTGGAAGCTTCCATCCGCACACCCATGATGGAGGAGAAGCCGGCGTTCCCCGAGCTCCAACCCAGTCCGCACTGTCGGTTCATCGGAGCCCCCGTCGAGCACTGACGCTGCAGCGTGAGCGCGGGGCCGAGGAGCAAGCGCCCGGCCGCTGGCACGCCGCAGGCTGCAGCCTCCTTATGCTGTGCCCAGCAGCCGCTCCGGCCGGACGGGAGGCATCACCTGCCCTCCCCGGCCCTGCGATTACCCCGGCTGCAAACGAGGAGGAGAGCCGGCCAGCTCATCAGGGAAAACGAACATGGGTGACGGGCAGGGCCCAATTAGCTCATCTTCCTCGTGCACCTCCGGGTCGGAGCCCTGCCACGTGCCACCGCCGCAGCCCGCAGGGCACCGCTCCCACCCCAGGCTCCGCCGCCCCCGGGAACGGCCGGGCAAGACCCCCAGCAGCGCAGATGCTGGGCCGACGGCCAGCACGCTCCTCGAGGCGCTGGCGCATCCCCTGCTCACGAGGACGACGCGGACGGCGCGAGCCCAGGAGCCGCAGCGCAGCTGCGCGAACTCTCAGGAACTGGCCCGTATCGGATGAAACACAGACCACATGCAGCAACGAACGCGCGGTCCCAGGGGAAGGTCAGCGCGGAGACGGGGCTTTCATCTCCCGCCGTCCCCCCCGGCGCTGGCTGCACTGTAAAGCAAAGAACGGAAAGCTTTCAAAGACCTTGAAAACGCGAGTTTCTGCTGGACTAACACAGTCGCTCTTGTCAGCAATTAAGAAAATTGAGGGAAAATAGCAGTGGTTTCTCCCTAAAGAGTAGGAATCATTTATATAAGAATACTCCTCCCCAGGGCTCCAAGCACAGCATTCATGGAGTATTTATTCTGACAGGCTTCCTCCTTCAGAGCCAGTCTATAATGCTTTAAATATGTTTTCTCAAGCAAACCTCCATTTTTCTGGCATATTTACAGTTGGTAGTTAAAGCCGCTGGCATAACCCAGTCCTGAAGTTTGTGACCAAATGCTGTCCTACAGCAATTTTCATTTAGACTAAAACATATATAATTTATAAGTGAGGCTCTTTCCGAAATGGGGAAGGCTCAACCTCCCAGCGTTGCTTCATCTGTGCTTAATTTATAAATCATGATTCA